CACATGTATAAATACATATATATGTATATATGTATATATATATATATTATACATGTACATGTATGGACATACATATATATATATGTATATATATATATATGTATAGTTATTGTTATAGTTATAGTTGTAGTTATACTCATATATGTATGTTAGTGTGCATGCATTATATATATATATATATATATATATTAATGATTATATATTATTGAATTCAATAATAGAACCCACCCATATTCTAAGTGTTGGCTATTTCGCTTCTGCATAACCTTTCTTTCTTATAGAATGCGCGTGTCTGCATGGATAGATTCGACCGACAGATGAGAGTGAGAGACGCCTCGATCACCGGCCACCCAGACATTGCCAGCGACGTATGTCTCGATGTACTTAAATAGAATGTACCCTTAAATGTATTGTCTCTGTATCTATTGTTGGTTTATATCTATATACTCCGATGTTATTCTCATTTATCGGTCACCTCTTACGTTCTTGTTGGGGGCGCTGTTTTCAGTCATGGGTGTTGTGATACATATGGCAAGTTGGGGTTTATGCTCGAGTCGTATCACAGGTTGAACCCAAGGTGTTCTTTTACTGCCCGACTATTGTTGAACATCGTCTGTATCTCGATACTCGATATGTGGCGTTTAGTCGGTAATGCACCTCTCAGTGTCTGTTTGCTTTCGCTCATGTGTATGTACTGCTGGAGTTTCATCTTACCGTTCGAATGGGGCCAATATCACGCACAGAGTACGCTCGACTGGATGTAGATATCTGATATTAGCAAGTATCGTTTGCTGTCATTCACCGTAATAATCTACGCAACGCCGTATCGCTCAAGGCATAGGTATAACATGTTACACAGTCCATGTCAAGTTGATGCTCATTTCAGTTAATTACATCCCATTTAGGTATTTCTAGGCCACTGTTTTCACCTCCTTAGCACCAGCATTTCATTATGCCGAGTTTGATCGGTCTTCCACTTATTGAGAGCTACATTATGTACGTCTTCTTGGGAAAAGGAGTAGTAAGAGAAACTGGATGTTCTTCTCGTTATTTGGCTATCTCACCCGTTTTTCTTTCCACTTTGGTCTCTTTGTAGGGCATGGGCGTTACGTACTAGCTTCCTCGGACTGCTGCAAAAGGGCCCGGGATCGTTCTTGGAAGAATTTCTTTGTAGTACCACCCGAATCCTCGCTCAACACAATAAATACCCTTTGTCGAATATACCTTCCATGTCGGTGATGTGAGTTTAGTATTGACGCAGGCAGATCACGCCGCACTGTTAGCACGTATCGTTCTCGCAGTTGATATCAGCGCGATATCTATTTAACTATATGAGCGTTGATTGTGCTTTAAATCCTGAGAATAATATGTATATATATATATATATATATATTATAGATACATAGATATATAG